CACTCACTTGCGAAATCTTGCATCGATTGCACATGCACTCGATCGTAGATCACTGTCGTGTACCACACAGCAATCACATCGACCGTCTCGCATGAATTATGGCATATCTGGGAACCTCATGCAGCGCAGGCTGCAAGTGCAAGTCTAGAATGCGACAAATCGAACTGGACACAAATCCCAGTGCAGTCGAGTCACTGGCCATAGACACGTCTTGTGAAGCTCATTTCCAAGCTTCCTCTGTGGCACATCCTCGCGATGCCTGGCAACATATTTCCAGCAGCATACACAGCTCTATAAATAACCGACACTGGTTATGGCATCATGATGCTAAGAAGTCTTCATGCAGGACCTGCCTTTGCATGTCCCCATGTAGGACTCGTCTCGAAAGGTGTGATGATATTTTGGATTTTGTCCTGGGGTCACCGATCGATTTTAGCTCCGGTTATGTTCATTCGCGAACCTCGAACTTGAAAATCACAAATCTGTTAAATCTATCGGGGCTGCCATCCAGCATGGCAATATGTGTTATCTCTTGGTATGCCTCGGTCTTTAAATGTACAGCAGCAGATCTGCAGAACACCAGGCCACACCGAATGCCAGCAAGTCACATGGAACTTGGGACGCAATCCCCAAAGCCGCTCCTGACGGTTTGCACAGATCACAGCCAAATTGGCGTAGGCCAGACACGACAGATCCTGAGCTGCCGTATTTCAGAATCGAAGTTGCCGGTTTTTGCATGCAGACATAACAGCTAGCAAAATACCTGTGCGTACAATTAATTAAACAGCCGGGCCACACATGCCTCCCCCAAGCCGGTTTTCTCGGCTGGGCCCAAGAATCGATCATACTTCTCCATGCGCTGAAAATATTCGTTGAGCCAAAACCTGCACTCTTTGTCCATCTCTCTGTCTCTCTCACTCTCTCTCTCTCTCTAGAATCTCTTACACTCCCACTCTCTCCCTAGACTCTGGAAGAGTGAAGTCCCAGCAAAAACTATATTGCAGCAACGGCACATTACTTTGGTCATCTCTTGGAACTCCATGTCTTTGCAATGGTCACAGGTGGCATAAAGTGAAATCAATAAATCCGAGAGCCACCCTGTCACGACTCGGGCCTAAGGCAACAAGTCAAACCCGAGCTTGAATACTGTATCGAAGAAAGCAACAAGCACCCGATGCAACTGAGACACATTGTATGCCTTCATGCTCATGTCTGCATAGCCACTGCCCATATCACGAAGATTCTTCGAATGAAACTCCGGCTGTGAGTGCCTCAGATCAGCTTAAACAGGAATGCAACAAATGCAAATGTGCTATAAGGTTCATGGTTCTTGTTAGGGTGAAAGTGGGCATTAGAATATCAAGTTGTCCAGGTTTTGGGCGCATTGGTTCTAGGGGTTCGGGGCCTGTTGGCCACAGCAGTGGTGAAGGTTTCCCAGCTTCGTTTATATGGAGAATATGTAGCTTCTGAGATCCCAATAAATGTGTTGCGACCACGATACTCGATTTTCTTTTCACGGGCCCATGCAAGGAAGTCACCATAGGCCAGAGCCAATCGAACATTCAACCGGTCTTTGGCCTGGGTTCGGGGTGGCGCTGGCCACAAATCCTCAGCAAGAATCCTCACAGGCATTGTGGGACCATGATTTTATTGCTGGAAAACTCTGTTTACACCAAAAATGCCTTGCACCCCAGTAGCAGGAATCTTCAAAAGACTGATCAGGGAAGAGGCCACTGCCCAGTGACAAATGCCTAAATTGATACTGTGCATGGTGCACCACCGTAGGCAGGAATGGTGAAAGCCGCGGATGGCCAACAGGTGGCCTTAGATAGAGTGCAAATGATGCATATATGCTAATCTACATATTATTCTTATTATGTGTCAGTTTACTAAACATGCTTAATCCCGAGATGCCAGACTTAAAATCATCGAATAACCGTACTGATTATGGAGGCTCGTCACTTCTCTGACCATCCAAAGGTCTGCAGACATCCACAAACTCATTCCACGACCGCCGTGGCTGGTAGAACAGCTGGCTGGGAAACTTCAAGTAGTTGCTGTCGGATACCAGACAGTGATGGCACAGACACTTGCTGTTCCATCCCACCCCCAAATTCAGCAGTTCCTGTAGGGTTATTTATTGGTTTTCTTTATGGCATGGGTGTGGGCATTGAGTGAATGAGTGTAGTAAATGGGGGTTAGAGAGAGGATAGTTGTTTAAGCACTATAAAATGTCAAATCAGCCAGGAATTTCAGGGTCAAAGGTCCGGGCTCTAAGATTATCTACGATACTAATTAATTTTCGAATCAACCGGCCCCCAAAAATATTGTAAAGCTATTTTGTTACATGTACATGTACACACATTAGTCAGTAGACAGGTCCTTCATCATCTTCCAGTCGCCTCGTACTTCACTGAAGTAGCATGCAGGATAGTGCTCGACTGAGTCGAAGGGTGGATCGATCATGGCTTCAGGTAGCAAGTTGTCCACATCCACGGAGTCAGGCAGCGGACGAATTCCCAGGTAAGCCAAGTTGAAGGATGCGGCTATCTTAGCTGTATTTTCTCGTACTACTTCAAAATATCATTAGACATTATAGACAGTCAAACAATTGAAAACTAGTATCGTACAGCCATTGATTACCAAGATCTAGAAATAGCCAGGTGACAGGACGCATGTAGGCCTGGAGGGTCGCAAAGCCAGTGCTTAAAGCCTCGGGCATTGTCGATGGCCACATCACCAGCGGAACACCCAACATCAATGAAAATTAATATAACTCATATCAGATAAGTGGCACACCTGATGACAAACAACGGGTAGCGATCCTGAACCTCCCCATCCAATAAAAAGTTCATTGAAACCACTATCAATTTCTGCCCGTGCTCGGTGTACCGGCAATCGTCGGCATGGATGCCGATGGGTACCATGCTGCGGTCAGCTGCCATCGGCCACTGAATGTGGCTTGACTCATGAGCTTTGAAATGTTCCCAATACTCGTGGATGGCTTCTTTTGGGGATAATTTCTCCAAGCGGCCTGTTGCATGTAATCCATGTAGGATGTCATGTGGCAACACCAATGGCATTGACCTGCAGGGTGCCACATATGATCACACTCCATCTAGTTTTTGATTATCTAGTCGATTATTTGTATTTACGACATATGCACATGCACATAGACGATCATGATTGCATATACTTTATTGAGCCAAGTATCCGCTGCACAACCTTCCATGTTCCTTTGTCACGTACACGTACAGGAACCGACACTTGTCGGATCGGCACCTTCAGCTAGAGCTAGTGAGATATTCGATTCGAACTCGTTTCGATACAGCTGAGTTCACAGCTTTAGTACTAGTACTTAAGTTATATAGCTACGTACTAAGTTCCACACTTGGAAACCGGCCGGCGTCGTACGTCGAAGAACATCGCGCTCGATGTTCGAAGCATGCATACCCTCCGCCCCTGCGGTTGCCAAGGCATTCAATCCGCCATCGGGGAGGAAATCATTGGCAGCGAAGTCCTGCAGTTAATTTCGGATTGGAGGTTTATTGGGGGTCTGCGGGTACACGGGCTCCGTTTTCAGGGTTTTGGATCCGGGTTTTAAGGGATGAGGGTATGTATATATCAATACTGACAACACTTCAGTTGGAGGTTAAACATGCCTGGTGCAAATGATGTTGTGCTGGGGTTCGAGCATCGGGTGTTAAGCTGAGCAAGTGTACTGAACGGGTTATTAGATACTCATAGCATCTAGCTAGACTTGTGTAAAATTATAATATGATTAAATTTAGTTGATGGGTCTCGTGTAAATACAGTGGCCAAGAATTTAAAACAACCAGGCTGTAATGTCGGGAAGTCCTGCACAGCAGCATGGGCCACACGCTGGGCCGAAGTGTAGCTGATGTTTTTCACTCTTTATTGCTTTGGGTATGCCTAATTATACTTAATATATAAGTACTTAGTTCCTTCGGGTGTCATACATACAGTGTTCAGGGCTCTATAGCTAGTCACAGTTCAAGATTTATATTTATCTATTATAGGATACTTGAGCCTGATCATGATACACTTGCAGCAGGGATTCAAGCCTTTAGGGCTGTAGGGTTTTAAGCTAGGGTTCAGTGTCGGGGTGCATCACAACCGTTGGACCATCATCAATGTCCAGCCCAAACATGGCCGTTTCCCCAACACACATACAAGCCCCAAATCCCTTAAACACCGAAGCACCGAATTGACTCCACACCACTAGGTCAAAAGCCTTATCGGACCCATCATAGAAGTATCGAACACAAGCTTGCACACCCAAGCAAAACCTTAATATTAGAGCATAGATATCAGTCCCCAGCTGAGATCATCGAGTGCAATTGCTGGCATAGATGACCCGCACGGTATCGAAGGCCATCTGCGCAGGACACAATTTGATTTCAGTTCAAGGGTCAGAGTGGCCAGGCTGTGCACTTTCCAAGCTCATTGCATGACAAGAAGGCAATCAGGCAAAGGTCCCAGTTTTGTCAGTGAGGGCATCGTAGCTTCACTGATGCACGGTAACACACCCCACACTAAGGGCTTTTCTGCCCAAGTCTGTCTAACACAAGGATGCACTGTACTTGCAATTGCAATTGGTGTTGCTTTGCCATGAACTAAGGTCACTCACCGACTGTGCTAGCCAGCTTTGTTAAGCCTGATGTACCCCTGCTCAAGCACAACCTGCCAATGTACGGGTTTTACATTTGCGGGGTTCAGGGCCAGGACTTATTGCTGTTATAGATTTGTACAGCTGGGGCAGTCGGATGCATGACCGAATGGCTCCACTCACATACCAGCACATGTGATATCTCACACGTGTTCGTATAGTGCAATCCGGATCCCAAAATCAACGAGTGGCCCCATGCACTCTTCAGGCAGATTTGCCCGGGCCCTTTTGCTTCTTCGAGCCACCACTCTTAGAGGCCTTGTTGGGGTCAGGCTCAGCCTTAGATCGGATATGATATGATAAGACATTGCTAGTGGGAATCAAACGAAAACCACGGCCGAAGGCAATTATGCAGCTGGGCAACGAAGAGTGCCTTGATTGGGCGGATAGCATTGCCATAGTTTTCCACAGCAGTGTCGAGGGTAGTCACGAGCGGGGCTAACGTGGCCTCGTCCTTTACACCTTCAACCAGTTTCCAATCCAAGGCTTCCGTTGCTTTTTCCATCGGGCTCTGGTACAGGTGGATCTGGGAAATGTAGCCTTTGGCCAAATCACCGGACCTGGGATGTTAACACATTGATTTAAGGGGTTAGGCTTTTAGGGGGAAGGGCTTAGGGGCTGAGGGCTTAGGGCAATGGTGGAGCATGGCCCATGGGACACTGGATAGCTTCGGGCTTGTTGGTGGCTAGTGGACTTCCGATGGGAGTTAGGTTTAATTTCGGATGTGAAATTATGTGGCATCGCTTTAAATATAAGGCCTAACTGTGTTTAGATATTTTTAAAATGCATTGCAATAGAATACGAATGCAGACTATATAATAAGTACACTAGATTTAGCTAACTACCTCACAATTATTAGGCTTTATAATTAGGTAAGGTGCACTTTGCGCTTGCTGGGGTCCGGGATCTTCTGGTCATCGTGGATCGTCCTTATCCAATACTTGGCATCGGTCAAGGTAGTTCGGCCCAGCTTCACCTTCCCGTTGGCTTTGCCAGCGTAGTTGGGGGCCTTCTTCGCTTTGTTGGGTTCGGTATTGCCCTTGGGGTTCGTCTTGGTCTTTCCTTTGCCTTTGCCACCGGGTGTTCCACCAAGGCTATCGGAGCTGAGTGCTGGCTGCAAGGACCTTCCACATCCGGTGGGATCCGAGACAGTCGGCTGCAGACCGGACCTGGGATGAAGAAGGTTGAAGGTTTTTTCTAATGGGCCCCAATTCAGCATCCAGGTGTCTTGATTATTGGGGTGAGGAGTGTGCTAGTTGTATATGAAATTTGTATCGTATAAATTAATTACTCATTACTAGTATAATAATGCTACAATTATACTATTATAATTGTATAATTAAAATGTACTATGTAACTATAATACTAATAATTATAAATTACTAGGTCTAACCTCTGCTTTGACACTTCTCGGACTTCTGGGACTTAGACTTGGCAAAGCTTGTTGCATTAATGTGGAAGTTGTACTACCACTATCTAGATCTGTATTCTAGCGGATTTACAGTACACAACAAACCTAGCCACAAGCTCAGACCGAATAGTGGGGTCATAAACCGTCAAGGGCACCTCAGATCACGGGTCAATCCACTGTCCAGATTCACAGCCACACTCTCCTCAGTGTGCACGGAATTCTCGTTCAATGTCGAAAGAGTAGCGCCATCGAAACAGAGGAACAATTCGTGAGCCTCAGGTCTGCAAAGCTTTCAAAGTTTCAAGAGCCCATCATCAGAGTAACAACAGGCAAACTTAAAGGTACTTTATCGAAATCATATCATAACATAAGTCCAAAGATCAAGGCTTTTGGGAAAGTCCGGATGCGGATACCAGAATGGCACCCCCGGTTGGAAGTCACCCAATGTAGATTGTTTCTCCTTCTTGTCCTCGCGTAGACCCTCGGCGTCGGTTTGTCCGTGTTCCTTCACAATGTCTTTGAACATCTTGTAGCTGCGGCCTCCTGCTAGCTTGGATCTTTCAGTTGATGACGAGTTTTGCACCAGGCTGCTGCTGGTCCAAACCTCACCACACCGAATAAACTCATCCAGCAAGTCCGCATACTTCCGATCTTAGTTGGTGGCATTATTATATCATGGCCGAACACTAGCTATAGCATATATAGCTAGGCTACACCAAAACAACACATGAAATCAATGTCCAAGCTACCCTTGCGGGCTTGAATTGCTTTCTGCCGAATGGCAGGAGGTAGATCATCACCTGGGTTGTGCAATAATAATAAGGAATGCCAGCCTAAACCGAACACAAATCTATTTAAGCCTAACAGCACGGGCTATGAATAGTCTACCCCACAGTGGATTCCACTAGAGTTTTCGTGTAACTTCTACCTAATTTTGTTTGCACTATAGCTTGAGTTGCAGTGTGGCTATTTAATTTAGTAAGACAGGGCTCGCTTCAGAGTTCGCATCATTCTTGCACGGGCCGACCTCCTTGCTAAGTCAGCAATCCTGGCCTCCTCATCATCCTGTTCATCCAGCTCCTCTCCATCAAGCTCAGATGCTGCGATCTGCTGCTGATTCACGGCTGGCGCTGGCTGCTTCTCAATCTGCTTTTGGACCTGTTGCTTTGCCAGGCGGGTTTTCTCCTGCATATGATTGCACACTGTAGGTGTCGACACAGTAATTAGAGGATTAGAGGTTTTTAGGTAGGATCGACGAATCTTCAATATGCTACTAAATATTGGATAGACTCGAAATTACGATGTATTGATTTGATTCGATTACGAGGAAGGTCCTCGATGTCACCCGTTGCCAGTCTCCGCAATGCACTATCCACAGCAGCTTTTGCTTGCACTCCGGCATCCAAAGAGGGGTCACCCGAACCAAGGTCGACTGCATCCAAGTAGGGGTCATCTGAACAAAGGTCAACTGCCCCAGCCGCCCCGATACTTGAGCCCCCGTTCCTGTCAGGACTCTTGGCCTCCACCTTGGTGAACGATTGATCCTCGGGCTCCTGCTTCATGGCCAGCATTGCCTGCAGGGGTTGTTCAATCAGGATAACATCGGTAGCCAGAACCATTAAACATATTATTTGTTTGTAGCTGGGCAGCCTCCAGTTGGCTCACCAGTTCATCATCATCGATCTCATCACAGTCGATAGCTTGGGTAGGCACCTGGTGAGCACATTTGCACCAAAGGGGTCTAGGGGGCATCGGGCTCGAATCCGGGCAACTAGTTTAGGCGATTAGGGCTCAGAGGTATTTAAGTTGCAACACAAAGCAAGATGAAGCTAGTCTAATAATATTGTATATATATATACAGTAGAAGCCAGAAAGTTGGAACATCACTATCCTCATGCCCTTAAAGTAAAGTATAACAGGGATCCTAGCACTAATCCTCCTAAATCCATGTTCCAATTTTCTGGCTTCTACTGTATATATATATATACACATATTATGATAAATTATAATTAATATACTTATTAATTAATAATTGTTGCTGTTATTCTATGCTAGTATTTAGTTATTCTATAAAATGCATACATATATATATATATATACATACCCACTAGTACTAACTATAACCCGACTCCAAACGACGCCACATTAACCACAATCCAAACGACTGAGCACTGCACCTGGACAGCACCTGCACTGTTGCTCTGACTCTGTACTGCATCGGCTTGCTGCTGATTGCCCTGCTGTGGTGGATTCTCAGCTGGTTGCCCATTGCCCTTGCCCTGCTGTGGTGGCTGCTGTGATCCATTGCCCTGCTGTGGTGGATTCTGCACTGCCTTTGGTTGCACATTGCCCTGCTGTGGTGGATTCTGCACTGCCTCCGCTGGTTGCCCATTGCCCTGCTGTGGTGGCTGCTGTGATCCATTGCCCTGCTGTGGTGGATTCTGCACTGACTCAGCTGGTTGCCCATTGCCCTGCTGTGGTGGATTCTGCAATGCCTCCGCTGGTTGCCCATTGCCCTGCTGTGGTGGCTGCTGTGATCCATTGCCCTGCTGCGGTGGATTCTGCAATGCCTCGGCTGGCTGTCCGTTGCCCTGCTGTGGTGGATTCTGCAATGCCTCGGCTGGTTGTCCATTGCCCTGCTGTGGTGGCTGCTGTGATCCAGTGCCCTGCTGTGGTGGATTCTGCACTGAGTCAGCTGGTTGCCCATTGCCCTGCTGTGGTGGATTCTGCAATGCCTCGGCTGGTTGTCCATTGCCCTGCTGTGGTGGATTCTGCACTGCAGCTGGTTGCACCTTGCCCTGCTGTGGTGGATTCTGCAATGCCTCGGCTGGTTGTCCATTGCCCTGCTGTGGTGGCTGCTGTGATCCATTGCCCTGCTGTGGTGGATTCTGCACTGAGTCAGCTGGTTGCCCATTGCCCTGCTGTGGTGGATTCTGCAATGCCTCGGCTGGTTGTCCATTGCCCTGCTGTGGTGGATTCTGCACTGCCTCAGCTGGTTGCACCTTGCCCTGCTGCGGTGGATTCTGCAATGCCTCGGCTGGTTGTCCATTGCCCTGCTGTGGTGGCTGCTGTGATCCATTGCCCTGCTGTGGTGGATTCTGCACTGAGTCAGCTGGTTGCCCATTGCCCTGCTGTGGTGGATTCTGCAATGCCTCGGCTGGTTGTCCATTGCCCTGCTGTGGTGGATTCTGCACTGCCTCAGCTGGTTGCACCTTGCCCTGCTGCGGTGGATTCTGCAATGCCTCGGCTGGTTGTCCATTGCCCTGCTGTGGTGGCTGCTGTGATCCATTGCCCTGCTGTGGTGGATTCTGCACTGAGTCAGCTGGTTGCCCATTGACCTGCTGTGGTGGGGGGTTAAAGTTATAGGGATTTAGAGGGCTTAGGGGGTTGAGGTAGGGGGTTCAGGTAGGGGGTGCAGTGTTTGGAGGGTTTAGGGGGTTTAGGTCGGGGGGTTTAGGTAGGGGGTTCAGGGGCTTAGGGGGTTTGGTTTGGGGTTTGGGGGTGGTTTCTGCACTGCCACTGCCTCAGCTGGTTGCCCATTGCTCTGCTGGGGTGGACTCATAACATCATCGGCTCGCTGTCCATCGTTGCCCTCCGGAAACGGTTGCTCTTGTAATGTCTCTTCCACCTCGGGAATCGTCTCCGGGATATTCTCTCCAGAAACAGGCAGCTCTGCATGCTTGACATGCTGAGCCAAGGAAACCGTCGAATCCATCTCCTGCCAGGACTCCATAGACTCAAAGAAAACCTGGGACAGCATACCTGTCGTCCTCAAGTGCCCGATCAGGGCATGAACTTTGGCAGCTGCATACGAAGCAGCTTTTGCAGCCTGAACGGTCACAGTATCACGCCTCAGGTTCAATGCCTCCATCTCCCTTGAAAGCCATCGCTCAGCCATTACTTGCTTGCGCTGCGCCTTTTCTTTGTCAGCCTCTGCTGCTGCAGCTTGGAGCACCTTCTGCACCGATTTCTCGGCTGTGCTTTTGACTGAAGCATACCCTTTCGACAGGAACTCATCCTGCACAGCAGCTGCTTTCTTGGCTTCCCTGACCAGTTCAACAGTTATGTTGTACACCTGCATCAAGGCCTCCACATTGCGCCCATCTGCTGTGTCCACCATCGGCTCAGCAAAGTCATCCACCAGGTCGTTGAGAATGTACTCCCGGAAGCTAGCTGCCCCTGGTCCCAGATGCCATTTGTCCGTGGGGAAAAACAATGCTTGCCCGAGCTCATCCTTGTCAAGTTGAAGTAGGTCCGCAAGTAGCAGCACCTGCCTCTCCTTCGGTTCTGGGGAGCTTTGGCTTCCGATTCCCACCCACGGCATTGTGGACTGGGTGTCCATGCGGCCAATATCTTTGACCTTGCCTCGGCTACATCACTCTCCCACTCTCGATCTCTCTCTCTCTCTCTCTCTCTCTCTGTCTCTCCCTCTCTCTCCCCCCCAGGCCTAATTTAGTATACATACTCGGCTCCACAATCTCAGATGATCTAGATCTTACATCACTGGCACCGAAGACAGTCTCTACGCTGTAATAGATCTAAACTAGTATTCGTATTTGAATTATTATACAGCGAAAACATGTTCGAGATGATGTCTTATAATAATTGTATGTATATATATATATAGCTATTATAATACATGCTATTGTTTATTGCTACTTAATTTGTAAGTATTATAATTACTATAAAGATATTAGAGAACTGATGCTAGTTAGCCGGGTTTCCCTGCTGCGAGCCGTTGCTTGCATCGGACAAGCCACTAGCACTATGTCGGATCGGAGGGGGGCACTTCGTTTTTTTGCAAGGAGGGCTCCTCACAGGGGTGCCACCAGATCCGTCGCCCTGCAAGGCTTGCCGTGCAGATGCTGGTGTTGCCACCATCTTACCTCCACTCTTCGGTACAGCGGCTGCCACCGTGGGAGCTCGTGCCTTCTTGCCTGCACAGCAGACCCACATATAGTCTATCAGGTTGCAGGGAACTAACATATAAGCTACAGGGTTTCAGGGTTTTTGTGGTTAAAGTTTTTTTGGGTGTAGGATTCAGGGTTTCAAGGCCTAGGGTTTGGTGTTTGGGAATTTAAAATTAAAGCTTCATGTCTTGTGCAGCTGGCCTACAATTGCAACAGTCGAAACTTTAAGGTTAGATCGAATATCATGAATGCATGCACATGTGCACACATAAGACACAGACTTCGAGGATCCTGATGAGAGATGTGCATGCATGCCGTACATATGTGGAAGCCTCCGGCCTAGAGCTGCTGCCACCTCGGCCGACACATCCAAGTCCCGCGAGGAAGCCTCGATAGCATGTAGTAATATTATATAGTATTCACTTCAGAATAGCTGATGTCGATTGTAATAACATAAGCCTGCATATAGTCATCCGAGCAACTCTTCGAACAGGAGGCCCATTCGAAGCAGGATAGGGAGCACTCCGATTCGGAGCATGCTTGCTAAGGCTAGGCATCGGCACCCGACTCGAAGAGGCCAGAGCACTCTAGCCTATATCTTTCTAAGAAAAGCCTTCCAGGGAAGGTTTCAGCCCAAATGACAATATACGAGGATGCACAGTTACACAGAGTTACGCGGAGTTACGGGGGAGTCACGCCTATATTCGAAAGACCTCTCCAGGAATGGTTTTTGGCAATATAGAGTCACGCCAAAGTTACGCCAAGTTACGCTTAGTTACGCTCCATGTTGCTGAGGATACTATGTATATTTATGCTCTTACATAAATCGTGGCCCTAGGTGTTCGTATAAATACACAACCCTAAGGGTCCAAGTACTTAAATAGTAGGGTTTCAGGATCTACAACCCATTCATAGATGGATTTCGGTATCTAAAACCCTACTATTTGGGATTTGGACCAGACACAACTGCAACTAAACAGGTGTTCTCAGGTTTCCCGATTGTATTGCATTGCTTTGAGGCAGTGAAGAGATATCAATCGGTCGATCAAAGCAAATCGAGTACGATTGTAGCTACTGTACTTTCGTTGAATCACATTGTTCATCCCATCAGTGGAGAAGCCCTGGCAGGGAGGTACCGGGTCGTGTGTGATCGGGACATAAACCGGATATACCAAACCCTCTGTGTTGCAACATGGACATAAAGTTGCTAGGTACCCAGGTTCGGTGTGTACTTCGAAGGTACCACTATAGCTATGCTACTACATTCCAGCAATGCTCGAAATATCGAGTATGATCATAATATATGGCATATAGGTATCTGCACATGTAGAGCTCTACGTTATACATGCATGTGCAGATACCTATATGCCATATCTTATGATCATACTCGATACTTGTATATATTGCTATTATTATCACATTGCTGGTTATAATTCAATGTACTTCATATTCTACCTGTACATGTGCTATACCAATATAATCCTTTGTTCCTTGTATTCCTTGTGGAATGCTGGGTTAATCATTATAAACTGGATATCAGCTCCATTTCTCAGCCCGGGCTGAGCTTTGCACACTTCGGTTCTATGCACTGCACCAGCTGCTTGCACCATGATCTCAGGATCCACATTCATGAAGCAGCCACCTCTGCTAGCACTTGGATCCGGATAATACCCTGTCACATTGCATGCGACTACTTCTATTATAATAACTAATTATAATTAACTTGTGATAATTGTCTACTGCTACCACTACTACGACGACAAATAGTATCTGCTAATAATAATATGCATACTACTGCCACCTGTACTACTGCTGTATATATGTACACACACATATAATATATATGTATTAATATATAGCGATAATATATGTTAGACATATTTAGCTATATCGTATTGCTAGTTAATAAGCGTATCCGGTTCTCCACCCAGTGGAAATCAACAACAAATGCTGCTGCTACTGCTACATCTACTGCACAATCGACAGTAGTACTAGTATACTAGTACAACAACAACTACTACTACTGCTGCTACTGCTACTGCTACTGCTACTGCCTCTGCTACTGCTACTGCTACTGCTACTACTACTACTGCTACTGCTGCTACTACTAGTCCACTGCTGCCACCTCACAACTAGCTTCGGTTCAACCATATAATGGTACTAGCTGATGTTGTTAAACAAATGCTGCTTCGGAGTTCGAGTACTATTACTACGATTGCTACAAGCACTCCTACTCCTACTCCGGATCCTATGGCTAGATTGTATATAGCTTGCAAGTGCTACTACCACCACCACTATACTACTGCTATATACTACAAAGTCCTGTTACTATCACACCCTCTGCCTGATCTGAGGTCATGGTGCAGTCAAAGCGGAAGAATATCCATCCAGGCAGGCCAGCAGACCCCTAAACCCAATCCACGATTCCTATGCATGTCCCTGCAGTCCAGATCTAGGCGTAATCACATGATGGGTTTCGTGTCCCAAGGAACATTCGGATCCGGCTTGAAAGTTCCTTCCACAACCGCTCCCAAAAGATATTCCTTTACAGGCTCCAAGTCAGCTTCTTTCCAGTTGTCACAATCCGGAGGTAGCTCAGGTACCTCAGAATTTGATTGGTACATGAGTGGGTCTGCCAATGCTGAAGTCCACAAATAAACCCTGCAACCTCGGCACCTGCAGGGTGCCACCTCGCAGCTGCTGAAGCAGCCTCTGCAAATCCATTGCCGAGGGCAGCAATCTCGCCACCTGGGATTCCGAGACTTTGGGACCTAGTTTAGGGTCTAGGGCTTAGCGTTTAAGGTTTAGGCTAGGGATTAGGGTTTCGGATGTGGGTTTAGGGTTTGGGGGTTTGGGGGTTTGGGGTTGAGGGTTTAGGTGCTTTAGGGTGTTTAGAGGGCCGAGGCGGGGACTTAGGGGGTTTAGGGGGTTAGGGTAGTCTGTATGTTATTATATTATTTGGGAGAGCATATTATTGTTACTAGGGTATACATTTGGCCATAGCTTTACCATAGTATGCATATATTCATTATTGTATTTAATTATACTGCAATTGCATTGCACTCGGACCATGACATATGGGTTCAACGATTAAATTTTTACAGGCATACATGGCTACATATTGACAACTGATTATTTGCTTCGACATACTCATGATCACGCTGCCCCTACAACCTGAATTCAATGTGACGGACCTTTGACACCGCCACCTTATTATTGCTTGTACTGGTTATAAAAGTCGTGGCCGTGGGTTATATAGGGAGCTAGACAGGGACCCAAGGTTGCAGGCTGAGGTAGCGGTTAAGGGTGGGTGCATTAAGACACTATATTAGGATTTCAGATCTGTACATAGGGTTTAGACAGAGGGCTTCCCACAACGTGAAGCCAAGTGTGGGTCTGGGGTTGAAGTGCTTCTGAGGGGTCCAACTACTGAAACTACCCAAACTTGAGTCTTCGGATGGTAAGTCCCCCCATTCTCAAGATTGTGATTTGGAGTTGAACTGTTTTGAGGTTTGGCTACTATATCACCCAATGGTTGCCTGGCATAGGTTTCGGCTTATTGCATTTCAGGGTTGTGGTTCGTAGCATCCAATGAATTATTGATTATGTTCGAATTAATTCGGATCAGCCCCACCAATCTTACATGGCCTATAAAGCCACAAGCATGAATGCGCGCATGGGGTATCTCTAGCTTTAGTTTCAATATAAACAACCCATAACCCTAAACCCCAAAGGGTTTACCCTAATTCTAGCTTGACATTGTACATGTATTGGTCAACCCCACGACTTCAATGGCTGCTCCGAATCTCTAGCTAGCTAGCGCTGGGATCGTTATTTGGGCTGTACTTATAAGGGCAGCTTATACCTACGTTGGTGGGAGCAGGGGGGGGTCCCCAATAGGATGTGGCATGAGCCAGTGGTTGACCGGCATGTGGGCATCACTTCGTCCACTGCGTGACATCACTGTCATGCAGCTGCACCACTTGATTTTTCTCCATCAGTCTGTCGATGGTTTAAGTGCCAAGCAGACCATCTGTCATATGTTGGGCCAGCTTTGTCTTGGCCCGATCCAATGCACCACATACAGAATACCGTGGCTGGATCTTCGGCACAGACAGAGTCTTGACATCGAGACATCGACTCTCGATCTTAGCACTCTAGTATCTGACTAGCATATTATTACAAGGCCTAAGTCCTAAAGGGTGCAAAGTGGGAGGCCCATTACAATTGCAAGTTTCTATCTGGGGTCTGAAATTTCCTGATGAGCAGCCTTGTTCAAGTCTTAATTGCCTATGATATGGTATGGTGCTAGCAATGTGGGAACTACGATCGATGGGTTGTGACCATTCTACCACAAACCAGAGATGTGAGAATGGTTCTGAGTTTAGGGCTTTAGGGTTTGGGGGTGTCGGGTGTAGGCGTTATGGTTCATGGTTCAGGACTTTGGATTGCAGGCCTTCATGATCATCAAAGCAACAATGATCTTTAATAATCCTAGTTGGTCCCATAACCTGAATTCACTGCACTAGGCACATTGGATCTACATATACCTTTAGCCCTCCTGAAGCCTCAAGTCAACCTGAAGGGGTAACCAGCTACAGCATCGAAGTCTTGACACAATTGTCCTTATAAGAAAAGCTGGAGAGAATTCTACGATACCCTATACCCTGAGCTTCTAGTGTGCAAGCCAGAAGTTCAACCGCACAATCTGTTCTGAAGGGCTACCAATTGGGGCAGCATCACCTGAGGCCCGGAATACCCCGAAAGTACAGACACCAAGTCCAAAGATCGAGACCCAGTATTTCAGCTATATGTGTATGGTGTTATTAATTTTAATTACGATCTTTCTAGATCTATGATTTGACATATGTATAATATATAAGTACTGTAATTAGCTAGAATCTATCGGGCAACACTACTGCCCTACTCCCGGGCTTGGTTCCCCCAAACCTACAGCCATCTAACCCCAATCTTCCAACATTAATGGTAGGACTTGGTAATACTTTACTCCGAAAAGATCAGAAGTCGTCGACAATAACCCATGGACCCGACCCTATAACTAGAACCGAAATCCTATCACAAATTTGGGCCTAGACACTAATTTCAAGGCCCTGATCCCTAAACCCAAGCCAAGGCACAAATTCATCATGAAGTTCAGCGATCCGATCACCGAATTCTGCTGGATATGCACCGGAGCCGACCAGATCTTTCGCTCCCGTCCTCAATTAGCACTTGGAGTTTGAGGGTAGATTAACTTCTTGGTTTTCAGGCGCAAATGAGATATGCTAAACTACGGATATTTTGCAGCTGAGTGGCACTTTTTTTTCCCGGTGTTCTTACATACAGTACGGGTCACTGTTTTTTTTTGTGTTGCCGTAGCTCTAGTCTGGATCTCGGCACGCTTCTGCTTGGTCAGCTTCACGTATAGTTTCACCGACCAGGGACTCAGCTACATGGTCATGACATATATGTGAGGCTACAAGTCGTGATCATACGAGGCTGATTGCAGGACTGAGCACCCCACCAATTGCTGATGCCCAAACTTGGCTTAGGACACCAATGGTGATAAACACCCATCCACCTGATTGAAGCAAAGGGTTCGGCATAAAAGCGGTGCAGCAAAGACTCTCCACACACACAACGCATCAAGGGCACCATCGTGCAAGGCGGGTTTCGAGGAAGCGGCAGCTCAAATGTTGGAGCTGAAACAGATATCGTATGTATGGGAAATCCACGATGGCCGACCGAAGCGGGTTTTCAATAAAATAGAATCCAGCTCGCACCACCATGATTAGAATAAGGAGAACTGCTCGAGTGCATAATTTGTTGCCGGTAACAACAAATGGCTGGCCCAAATCCCCATGTGGCATATGAGGCTTCCTCTTGTGTTTGGATGAGCTTATCCAGGAGAAAGACGCACATGGGACTCCCAAAAACAGAAGACCTTGTCTTCGAACCCTCAAAGTGGACTGTAGAGCCAGGAAGAACCCCAGGGTGGTCTCCAGGTCCTGATCGTGGTACCGGGTTCGGTCATAAGTCAGCCTGACGCGGGCACACCGAATCACATCACAGTACAGCACTCTATAGATTTAGGTTTGTAGCATGAAAGGGCTAGTCATAACCGAATCGAATGCAAATCTCAGCTCTGGAACGCTTTGTGCTGTCGCTTCCCTTGGTGTGCACTCTCGAGTGGGAGGCTGCATGCATGCTGTTAGGCTATGTGCAGTGAAGGCTCGGAAACCAGCTGCTACAGCGGCAACTCCACAAAATAGCTCAGTGCATTGAACATCCTGATCAGACATGTCATTTGCCATGTATGTGTATACAACATGTACAGATGATAGAACTTTCTAGCATTGTACATCAGTAGCCTGATCTTGGGACTGCTGCCAGATTGCACGTTCATGGCCCAGGTCGTATCCACTGGCACTGCGCTGTGCCACATAGTCAGCAGCATGCACCCTCGGCATGCAAGTTGTTGGCTTGTTGCAGTCCGGAGGGTAACAGTCTCTACAGATGATAAGTCCTGATATGCGGGAAATCAATTTCAGTCGAGTCTCATAAGTGGGGGAACATGCATCAGAAACAGCAATGCTGTACTGGTGGCTGACAGTTGCAGTGGCAGTGCTCGTCGACCAGATGCATCCCGCTCCATGCTGCACTAATTGCAATTGCAAAGCACAGTCATATATCTCCGAGTTTACCCCGAAACCCCACCATATAAGAGATTGAAGCGTGCTTGCGCAAGACCCCAGCCCTATAGTTGCACACCAGGCTCTGGAGCATGTCAAACACACTGCAGCACATGCATGCATCTAAGTTTTCTAGGCATCCTACTGGCTAAGAATGGGGCTCTCCAGCACAGTTAATAATCTTTCTGCATAGCTGGCACATCACTGTAGCTCCCAACAGCTTGAGGCTGCACCTCCACTTCGGGGATCACAGCCACGAAATCTCACTTTGCCCCAAACACTTCTGCTAGGCTTGGGAGGCACTCCGATCCCCTAGTATACTCGTACCTGGAAAGTCATTTAGTGTGACTACATATGATACGACTTCAGAAGGCTTCGATACTAGCACTATATGCAAACTAAACCTGTTTACCCAAGGACCCTACATGAAGCCTAACAGGTGTCACATCGGGCAGCTAAGTGCAATACGTTGATATATCAACGTGTATGCAATGCAATGCAATCGATGCAACAGCCGAGGCCATCTTACTAGCTATATATTATCGTCTACATCTGGATCTGTACTATACCTAGCTCACATAGGACCCTAAAGCGC